CAAGAAAAATTCAGGGGTATTTCAAGCGTTGTCTTATTAGTGGAGGACTCTGTCAAGCTATGCATCGATTGGACGGAAATCACTGAGAGAGTGCAGGGGGAGCAGCGTTCAGACATCATGTACCGCTCTCGACGTGCTGAAGCCAACATTGGAAATGGATTCCAGACGCTGTCACATCGATTCCGCAAGACGGTCCAACGCTCGACGGCCATATTCTTTTCAGAATTCATCACTCCATCCCGAGCTTGAGGACAGAGATGTTGTGAATAAAATGCCATTCCTGCTCCCCATCACTCGAAACTTCAGAGCTCCTCGATTTTGCTTCACTTGGGCCGAGTCGGGCTCTGTGAATTAGTGTGGTCACCGCAGAAATTGGGAATTTACAGCTATCTGCTTTTGTCTGTCTCGGCTTCCGCTCTACGGGGCGGAATTTCTCATCGTTGGACGAAGGAAGTTCATTCTGGACTAATTGAACAAACGATTTCCGTCATCGCCAATACGCAGCTCCGGAAAAGCCTCTTTTTCCATTGTACCGATCACCACGATTCCCCATATCAAAGTCTGGAGGTCCCGATATGGCGCTTCGACTGAGATTATTCAGGGTAAAGAAGAAAGCCGCTCGGCAGGCCCTGACGAGAGCTTATCCTTTGTCGAGAGATCCTTGGTACATAGCCATAGCCAGTCAAGAGGTATGTGTCGGGCGCGACGGACCTCTCACTTCTCACCCTAAAGACGCGGCACCTCTAGAGAAAAACGTTAACAAATGTGGAAATAAGGAGGCATGTGGACTCATAGGGTCTTTTGAAGTGAAGGTCTGAGCTGAGGAGGTGGCGGAAATGAATGACCGAGCAGTCCGGGAAGTTCCCCTCTCAAAATCCTTAGTTACAGTCATCCGTCATCGAAACCTGTCGACCCCCGAGGCCCTCGACCGGCCAATGTACAATTAATGAGCCTCGGATGATTTTGCACGTCTAAAGCTCATATATTTTTCATCCTCGAACGAATACTATCTATGATTGTCAATCATGCATTCCTAGTTCCTGATGATTTCCTCTGCTTCTTGCTCGGGGAGGAACCGTCTACCGGCGAAAGCAGGACGACCTCTAGACGTATAGGCAGCGATCTCGCGTTCGAGTTGCACAAACAAAGGGTCCCCGATAAAGGGACCGCGATTGAATATCACGAATCCCTCATAGTCTTCCCCCTCGTTTTTGGCGCGGTCCTCAAACATGAGTATGTTAGGGCGAGTCTTCCCGAATTGCACCCTCTCGATCCTCAAACCATTAGCAGGGGGAGTGTACCGGGCGAACGCTCTTATGTCGTCTTCTTTCACACCGGGCTTCGATACGAAGTAGATGGTCCTGGCGATGTAACCATTTGTGATCGCGATCATCTTGCGTGCTTTTTCGGATCCAAGGCTGCTGGGAATGACTGTCCGCTTTCGTCGTTTGCGCTCTTTTGTGAGCAAGGATAAGAGCCCTCCTCGCTTTTATTCTGTCCCGCATGGGAGGTTGGGAGAACCCGGAGAGCGTATTCTACAGGATTTCAGTCCCGAACGCCACCTCGCAACGCAGAATTCCACCCGGAGAAGTGTCATGAGACCATCTGTAGGTCAGACTACAAACACGGTCAATAGTGAATTGCGGGGAATGACTTGCTAGCATGTTCTAGATGATTTTTCGATGAAGCGCTTGGTCGTCGGCTAAGGTTCAACACCGCACTGCCTGAGTCGAGATATTTGAAACGTCACTAATATACCCAAACGCTGTGACCGGCGAAATGACTAAAGGGGTGCTTAAACCGGAGGCAGGTAGCTGTAATCCATGTTGAGGGACTGCGTGAGCCTTGCGGTTTCGTACGTCCGAGAAGGTTTCAAAATATCCGCCATCGAG